GATAGGATCATGGTTTTGTTTCATTGGATTTTATGAAATTGCTGGCTGGATGATGGTGAAACCATTTGAAGCTACCAGTGAATATTTGATTCCAAGTTGTGAACTATATGTACTGATAATGAACTTCCTTGTATTACTCGTTTGTCTTATTAGCTTCCTTGTGTTAAGTCATCGGTATAAACTCCACAGGAGGGAGGATGTGTTTCATGCTTATCTTATAACTGAAAATTATTATGAAAATGAATTTAACAGACGCGATTATTATGGCAGCTTTTAATTACTTGTACACGAATGTTTGTTGACTACATTACATCAGTTGTTTTTTGTAATTATACTTTATGTTGAAGTCTTGGTTAAAATATGTTTATTTAGTTGCTGATGCGCTGATTCAAATTTACATGATTGTCATGCATTGTTGTTGCACTAATCACCTTTAGGTCTTGAACATAAAAGATGTCATATGGTACACTACATGTATCGACTAGATAATTTATGCTTGTATTAATAGAGAGCATGATTACGTAACGGTGAACTGAAAGTCATCTTCATTTTCAAAATAAACTTTGTATGAAAGCAAAGCTAGCACTAGCTCTAAAGGTGGTTTACCTAACCATTACCCAATTATCGCAAACAGTTGTGAGCATTTGTGGTATTATTGTGAGGATATAATGCTTGTTGAAACTGCTATTGTGGTTGGTGTTTATTAAATCAGAAAGATGTTTTATTTTCAATGCAGAAAGTCAATGGAAAGAAGAAGCAAGTGTATCATTATTTGCTCTCTACTCTGGTTTATGTTATTGCGATCATTTGACATCTCTATACTTTTCTCTTTCAAAACCTGGAAACAAAGGGACAGTGACCTGTATAAATTTATTTTGAATTCGGTTGCTATCTTGTTTTATATTCCTTTGCCCATTTTCAGTCTCTTTGCTGAAATTAAGTTTGGGCTGCTCAAAACAGCTATTGCCATCACATGTATTGAAGCTGTATGTTCACTGTGCTACACTATACTGTCTGTTCTTGATGGTTCAGTGATAGATACTGTTACATCTGTGGTTGTCCCACTCTTTCTTTTTGCACAAGTTTACTTTGAGACTTTAGTTCTATGCTTCATTGCCAATGAACTTACTGAAAGTTCCTGTAGATCTGACCATTTCAGTACTTATGTCTGGTGGCATGTTTGGTGTGCACATACTGGATCAATGGTAACAGAAGTCAGCAGCTGCCTATTTGAAAGTTACAATAATTTTGAAGCTTACGCAAGTTCTGTGCATTTTACATTTTTAATAGTTATTATAATATCAGCTCTCTTCATAAAGAAGTGGACTATCAGATACAATTATACTGTGAATCCTCTCAAACTTATTTCTAGTGTTTTATGTTTTGCACTAAAGAACAAATATCCTTTGAAACGCTCTGCATTGACTTACTGGGAGGAAACTGAACCATCTCGTATTAACTTAGGGAAAGCTAAATATGGGGGACCTTTCTTAGAAAAAGATGTGGAAAGTGTTAAGACATTTTTGCGACTAACCCCACTACTCATTGTGATGACCATGATTTACTTTCCCTTCCAGACATTAGGACGTTTGACAGAAAAGAAAGGATCACTTCCTTTTTGCTTTCTATTTCGTACTTACGTTGCAGAGTATGTAGTAATAATCATCTCTGTACCTCTTTACCAGTTTATCATCAAACCTTACTGCCCAAGAAAAATGAGGTTGAGTATTCTAAAAAGAACTGGATTAGGCATAGCACTTGTAGTTTTGGCAAAGTTTGGATACATTGCACTTGACTTGCTGATAGCTGTTCCTGCCCATGCTAACAACAATGAAACAATATGCTTAGTTAAATCGGCAATCAATGACACTGGGTACCATGATATGATCATTAGCTATGAGTCATTCCTATATTACTACATGATACCTACATGTATTAATTCTCTAGGAGCTCTTCTTACCATTACTGGCAGTCTAGAATTTGTTTTTGCTCAGGCTCCATACAGCATGCGTGGATTACTGATAGGTTTGTGGTTCAGTTTTAGTAGAATATATGCAGCAGTTGGTTGGATGATGGTTAAACCTATTGAGGCTGCAAGTGAGTATCTGGTGCCAAGTTGTGAGTTGTACATATTGATCATGAACTTTGTGCTTATGTTAGTCAGTTTTGTGTTGTTTGTTATTATTAGTCGGTGGTACAAGCTACACAGTAATGAAGATGTTTTCAATGCTCACTATGTTGTTGAGACTCATTATGAAAATGAATTTGATAGACGTGATCAAATTTGTACTTATGGTAGCACATCTGAAGCTTTTCATAATTATTTTTAATTCTTTGTACAACTTTTGTATGCAAATTATTATAATAAAGTAACACTTTTCTAAGACAATAAAATTGCAATTATAATATTCATAACATTATTTAAAAGTTTCTGCATGTAGACTATAATAGATTAATGATAGATATAATTATTTTTAATTAAGATGTGCAGCAAATCCTTTTTTTATCACTTTCTTGATAAGTATGATCCTATAAAAGATAACTATGACTTTTTTAACAATAATAGTTAATATCAAAGCATGAAGAACAAGAATCATTGCAACTGACATAAAAACAGAATGGAACTGACCTCTTAAATGATTACTGGAAAGATCAATTAATGAATCTGCATCAGATTTTAGATTTTCTGCAATAGATGATAATTTTAAAACAAACTCTCTTTTTGAATCCTTATTATTCTTCTCCCAGTCCAGTATCATTCTCATGAACAACTTCCAACCTGTTTCCTCTTCAAAATCATCATCAGTAGATTTAAATTCTTTATAAACAACTTTAGCTACTTCAGGAGAAAGATGTGACAATCTTTCAGCAATATTAGCAGCATCTTCTAGTGTGAATGACTCTATTAAAGTATTATTTTTAAACTGACAGAATTAGTATAAGATCACATACCTCCATTGAGCATTTGTTCATCAGGAACTCGATTCTTTATTTAAAATATGTAACTCACTATTCATTAAGTTATTTTTACTTACTTTTTTAATTTCAGCATTAAACATAGCAATTTTTGCATTATCTTTATCAGAGAGACCACTAGAGCACTTCTTACAGCTGCTAATAAATGGAAGTGAATGACGATAAGTTTGAACTTTGCAAGGATTTGATCCCTCATCACCGGAACACATGATGGCAAAGTTATACTTGATGCTGCTTTGCTTGGACATGACATCATGACATGCCTGAATGACGCACCCACATATTTTAGTCATGTCTTCATGTGAATGGTGAATGCTTGGAAATCGAAATTCTGTAATATCACCAAGGTAAACAAGTTCAAAAAGTAGATTTGAATGTGAAGTAAATGTGGTAACATTGATATGTGTTGATTCCATTGCAGCATGATGAATCTGGATATGAGGCTGATATTCTAAGAATTTTAAGATAAACAAAATTCGAAAGTGTGGCAATGATGTGTTCATTTCTTGAACTAAGTGAAGTGATACAGGAGTGCATTGTAAATCAGGAAGGTTTGTGCATACATTGGGTATGTAATAGATAGGGGAACTACCTTCCAATGTCAAATCAACTTCCTTGTTTGACAATTTAATGGCCATGTTAAATGATTCAAGAAACGACATAAAAACAGGACTGTATGTTCCAAAAATTTGCTCTGAGGTCACAGCTGTGACCAAACCATACTTTGTGACCAATTCATCATCCCCATTGTAGTAAAATAGCTTATCTAACATATTCAAAAATTGAATTGGCTGCGAGATAATCCATTCAGATTTGGAATCAATTAAACTTACATCAATAATACTACCAAAGGACGTAAATAGGCGACAAAACTCTTGAAACATATCAGGACACATACTGAGCTCTTCCGATATTTTTTGCAGTACTGATCTTTTGATGTAAAGCTTTTTGTTACCTAGCAGCATGCCACGAAGGAATATATAAGAAAGTGGAACATCTTGGGCCTGCTTGAGCTCATCTGTGATCCAACTATTAAGAAGTGTCTTAAGAGACTCAAGACCTCTCATTTCGTCAAAGGTTTGAAATTCATAAATATTTTCAATATCAATGAGCTCATTGATTTTTAACTGCTTAGAAACTGCATGCACAACTTCTGTTAATCGGCTTTTTTTATTTTCAGTTTCAGTAGGTCTTCTGAGAGTAGCTATTATGCTACAGAATTTTTTGTAGCGTGTGTCATTTTTCTTTGAAGCAAGTCGAGCAAAAGAAAGGAAATATCGAATACGTGAGCGCCACTTCATTATCAGATCTTTGTCATTACGTAAAACATCAGGATGATTAGGTGGAATTTCAGGAACTTCATAAAGATGCTCAGCATCCCGCAACAGATCAAGGAATAGCCAAACATGGCTATTATACAAGTGACCAGCAAGATGAGAGAGGAGATATGTTGGAATTTTATTGAGGCCAAGATCCCAAACATTGATTAGAGCTAAACCGCATGTGAGAGTTTGATCCCACTTTGATAATCTAATTTTTTTCTGCTGATCATGATTACTTAAATCTGTCATAACTTCTTCAAGGTGTCTGTTAAGGCCTGGATCTTGGAATAGAGAAAACTCTTTTGCAGGAAAAATATGAATGTTAAGATCCCTTAGCTTTTTACCACTAGAACGAATCATGCTTTCCACGCCTGCATATAATACTGATGGATACCCTTTGTTCCGATCTGGAGGTGCCAGTAAAATGCTATTTGAAATTAAATTTCGAGCAGCAAATATTTCACAGAATCCAATGGCATCTCCTTCTTTTAGACCAGTGACTGGCACATCGACATTTCTAACCAGGCATCTTAATGCTGTAGTTTTTGAGCTGTTTGGTAGGCCACCAGTGATCAATAGCATTGGAGAAATCTTTACTTTAATTGATGGGTTCAAAAGGTGATTCGTTAACACCTTGGGAGTTAATGTGAATTCTTCCCCTAGGTATTGACAAGAAAGCTTTCATTAGAATGTTTCAGAATTTATTATTAATTATCAATCAGATGCATGCACATTCTCTTTCTAAATAATATGATAATGCTGGATATGCATTGCTCTTCTTAGTTTAACAACAGCCAAATTTTATCTAGATTGACTATTAGAATTAATAGAAACTGACGTGTCATAAAGTAGATCTAAACACAAATCATAATTCAAAATGCTATCAAATTAATCACCAATTTTTGTACAAACTTTATTAGATCTGTAGTGTTAATTTATCTTAATAATAATGTACAAGTGATAACTTAACATTAATTTAACTCTACATTCTCCAACAGTTCATCATCCTCAAAACTTCAACACCCACTCTCTATTTGATCTTTCGTTTGACTCTCACTCAATTCTCTTGACTATATCTCTAAATTGTTTAGTTCAGTGAGAACATACACATCTTGTTCACATACACATTGTGCTTATCATTAATTTTACAATTATTATTATTCATTGTCTCTTCCACTCCAACTCTCCTCTATCTCAACCAAGAAAACAGGCAATAGAACAAAGAAAAGCTTTATGCAGCAGTATAGTGTTATTTGGTACATTATATACACCAGGACATGTATAGTTTAGTACATGTAGTGTATGCTATTATGAGTCGGAGCATTTATAAGATTTTGTGTGTGTGTAGACTAGTTCAAATTAAGTGGAGTCAGATTACTGATAACAGCTTAATCTACATAATTATGACTCTCTGCATTATTCATTTTGTCAATAGGTCTTTTACAATCATATGTTATTAGATCATTAAAATTTAATTTCAAGTACAAAGCTATAGCTACTACCAAACTGTCAATAGCTACAGCATCTTTCTTGGTCGTATGAACCGGGCTCTCAAGTTTATTGTCACCTAATAGCAGTTATTATTACAAGATAAAAGTGGGCTCAATTTTATAGATTAGATGATAATAATAACAGTGAACAATCATCTTATCAGGTGAAAAGGGAGGAACACTAATTTACTAAAAAAACAGTTACCTGACATAAGTTCTGTTAAAAAGTTTAGCTCTTGCAATAATCAACTTAACAATAAATGGTAACAATACCAGAAAGAAATAATAGATTGCACAGCTTTAAATAAGGAGTGTATGCATTACATCACAATACATCAGTTTACATACTTGTGGTTACATACAATAAAAACTACAGTCCAAAGTGTTAAATGAACCAACCAAGTTCAGATGCCTACTGAGAGGCAAAAGGGGAGACAGAGCAAACACAACCAGAATTAAAAGAGTGATAATTTATGGTTTACCTACTGTAGCGTGCAGAATCATTTAAATTCATAAATTCATAAAAAATTAATCAGTATATATAGTTCAATGGCTAGCTGAAGCAACTGACCAAGACAAATCAAGAGTGTAGGCTATATAGGGAGTTCCATGCCTGGCATATTCTCGCCTGGCACTGGCATGTATGCAGACTCAGACTGAGCAAAGGAAAAAGTTGTATATACTATATATACATGCAAATTGTGCGAAAAGCAATCACAGTCTAGTCATCAGTGTCACACAGTTCAGTATTTATTAATGGTGCTCTACAGAATACTTTTAACAACAATGACAACAATACTTACTCTCATCGCATGACCCAAAATCTCCAAAAACCGGTAAGCTTCTTCTTGGTTGATCCTCATTTTTTCCCTGAATATTAGACACCAAACACCTTAAGTCCGGGTAGTCGTCCTAGATATTGCCAAGCACATATACATATAGAGTCTAGCACTGATCTAAAAATAACTAGCCTTACCCCTGTCTCTTCTAGTGGAGAAATATACAGATAAGGTTCATCAACAATCTCATCTGCAGTAGCCGAGGCAGTAGCTCTATTTGATTTACTCATTTTGTAACAAAAGTCCAAACTCCAAACAACACTGGAAATTACAGGAAAAATGAGGAAATAGATCTAGATGTTTGTCAAAATCCGCCCCTTTTTAGTTTTTTAACTTTTTTTTAAAGCAGGGGCAAATACTATAAAGATTATAACAGCTCAGAGTCATGCATGCATATCAGATAGCTCAGCCACACCTTTTAGACTAACACCCACGCATTAGCTCACTTCCTTTTGCAATTGCCAATAAAAATACTATTATAAATAAAGCGAAGTATTGTAATTATTTAAATTATTTGTTCCACAAAATCTAATCTGTTTTTAATATGCTCATAATAAGGTAAAGTAGAACAAGTTCCTTGATGTAATTCATCTAACCCAAGTATCCTTAGTGTATTATTGGTCTTGAGTGATTCCATCAACATCATTACTCCATCAGTATCAATGTTAGTGCGGTGGAGATCAAGGTAACTGAGTGCATTGTTAAGAAGTAAAAGTTCAGCAAGTAACTGAGCACTAGATGCAGTGATGCCAGGATTGTAATCAAGATACAAATATTGAAGTGTTTCATTACATTGCAGTGATTGTGTTAGTGCAATGACTCCATCATCACTGATTGAATCATGAGCAAGGCTCAAAATTTTCAATGATTTGTTGATTGATAATTGAGAAGAGAATGAGAGGATATCCTCACGTGTTAAGAATGACGAGAGTATACAAAGTATTTCTATTGTACTTCTCTCCAATATAGCTGGTAATAGGACTTGTATACTCTCAGATGATGAGCGGATGAGCATAATGCTAATATGTCTGTCCTCCAATTTACTGATTACCTCCATACATTGATCTGCCGATGGTCTAATGAGCTGTACATTATCTTGTCTCCATTCCACCTCTCTATCATTTTGTACTTCATTTTGTACTAATAATAAACATACAATTTCAGATAATTTTATGTGAGAAATAAAAATTAATGTTACCAAGAATGAACAATTATCTATAGCTTACTGTACTCCAGATTTTCCCACCCACAATTCCACACACACACACACACACACACACGCACACTACTGTAACTCACTGCATCAATCTCAAACCATCTACACAATATTTTATCAAACTCATGCAACCCCAGAAAAGAGAAAAGACTGGGAGAGTTGGGTACCCTATAACATTTTAACCAGGTTCACAAGACAAAACTGTTAATTGCTTCAAAAGATAACATGAAACAAGCACATCTCTCAACCTCCACAAATGACAACCAGGAATAACAATAGTAACAAAGTGCTAACTAAATCAGTCAAATCATGTACAGATAATTGTATTTAACTCACAGTTTACATTATCATATATGTCGTCATTACCTGTATGATTATAATAATTAAATATTCATTCACTCATTCATGTACTTGATGTGTCACTATCACTCTCAGATGATTCATCTTTTGTCTCTGATATCTCTCCAACTGGTAATTGTAAATATTAAAATAGAAATTAATACATTAAGTGTAAAATACATACTGTTATTGTTATCAAGTTTCAGTTTCAATTGTTCTACTTCTTGTAGTCTATTCTCTGACAGTTCCTTCAATGACGCTAACTCTTTCTCAGTATTTGCTACAATTTACAAGGTCAACACTAATTGTTTTGATTTACTTCAACCAATGTACATGTACATCACACATTCTTAGATCAACATTGTACAAACTGATATACCTTCTCTTTCTTTCATAATCTGGTTCAAAATATTTTCTTTCTCTGCCACTTCTTTCATTAGCGACGACATTTTTTCTTTAAGTTCATTGATTATATCTTCATTTTGAGCTACTAGCTAATAGGATTAATAACTATAAATAATCATACCATTTATGCATTGACTTTCCTCAAGCTTAATTTGTAATACTTCTAATTCTTTCAATCTGTTTTCTGATACTTCCTTAAATATTGCTAACTCTGTTTCAGTAGCTATTAAGGATCAAATAAACAGTTTTCTTACCCATTATCTTTTGATCTCTGTCTCTTAAAGCAGTTTTCAAATCATTAATCTGTACTAGCAAGTCCTTCAGTAAGAGTCAGAATATAATGTACATAAGTTCATTCATTTCTAACCTGAGTAGTGTCCCATACGGTATCTTGTCCTACTATAAATTCTTTTAATTCTTTTATTCGTAATGCATCTATCTTCTCAAGGACAATACTTTTAAGTAAACCAGTGCATTCAGCAGGGCAGTAGCAGGTCACTACAACTGATCGACCAGTACCAACTTTATCGATCTGTATGTGGCACTTATGTAGTGGCTCCAGCTCATCCAAAACATCAATGATATCCTGCAAGGTACATTTATCAGGATTCCAGTTGAACACAAACACAACTGTTTCACATAAAAGGCGAGATGGAGTAGCAACTGCTTGTAGTTCCTCACCAAGGCAAAGACTCACTGATACTGACTTACAGAAATCCTTAGCTTCCTCTTTGAATGATTTAATGATTGGCTCAGCCTCTTCTATGTTGAATTCAAAAGCTAAATTTTCAAGGGGACTTAAGTCAACAATACTGCACTTTCTTTTTACTACATTTAATATTTCATTGATTGTCATTTTGTAAGAAAGTTGCGACTTCAGATCAGGAAACAAGTCAATAATTAGTTCCTTCATTTCATCAATATTTAAAGCAGTTTTCTTGCTATAAAAAATACGCCGAACTCGAAAAAAAGTAGATCCAAATTTTGATCTCATTTCTTTAAACTTTTTTTTCATATCTCGGGGAAAAAGAATTTTATGATTACCATGTTTATCCGTTTCATTGTCATCAAATAGTGAACCTGTAAAAGGTAAAAGTTAAGATGGAGTTATAATGATTATACTTTCTGAACTAGCAGACATAGACTTTTGTTTTGAAAAATAAATGTCACTCTCTTTAACATCATTATCACAATAATTGAAATACTTTCCTAAAACAAAAAGGTAACTTTATGCAAGAAAGACTGAATTTACTATATTCTTCAAAAATAGTATCTCCAATATGAGCAGTCTCTGAGAACTTCCTCAATACATTAACAAACAACTCCAGGTGTTTGTAATTGGAGTGAACAGCATCTCGTACAGCTTTGAGGAGAACTGCTCTACTGTCAGAGACAGAACCTCTGGTAGACATGACACAAGATAGAGCCTCATCAGATATAACCTCTTCATGAAGCAACTTTGCCATATGAACTGGTTCAGTAATTGACTGAGAGAGAGTACTGTAATTGTTCCTCAATATATCACTAGCACGATCTTCATTATCACCTACTACACCCTGTAGTTGTACTAATGTACTATCATTATCTTGAGGAATTTTCCCTTTCATTATAAATTATTCATAATAAATAATAATAATGACATTACAATATTCAGTGCTTACCATAATTGGTCATCATGTCATTGGCTATATCTCTTGTTTCTTCAACATCAGACAGTACTATGGTAATATTTTTAAGTTTCTTGTAGTCGCTAGCCACTGTTTCTTGCACTGCTGTCAGTAAAATGGTCTTCTTGTCATCCAGTGACCTCCTCTGATCCATCCTCTCCATTTCATCCAGAGTAGCTTCACTTATACATCTCTTACAGTATAACAGTTGAGACACTTGTACAGGAGAGACAAGAGCCTCATTTAATGATTCAATATTCCGTTCAAGAATAGAAACTGCCTCAGAAGATGGTGATATATGATCTAAATCTAATAAAATAATTATGTTACCATTGAGTTTCAAGTCTAAATTTAACTTGAACACTTACAAGCTGCCTTATGTAACTCCTTCAAATGCTTTTCATATTTATCAGCGAGTGTATTCTCTCCCACTACTTTCTTTCTCAATGCTTCCAGTACTTGTCTCCTACTAGCAGTAGGAGTAGTGGCCAGCCATAGATTGAACATCTCTATCATCTTGTGAGCGTCATTGTGGCTAGTTTGTCCTTCAATACTTCTCAATCGTTTCTGATCCAAGTCAAGCATTGTACCAACAGTGTACCAGTTAGTACTAACATCAACATGCTCCGTTAGCTCCGTAATAGTTGGAGTAGCTGACAAGAAACAATCGAAAGAATTTTCCATGTTTTGTTTTCCTGCTAAAAATTTGAACACGCCCTGACGCCCATGCAATTAATTGATCCTGCTAACCACAATTTTGATTTCTTATGCATGACGAAAGCAGTTTGGCTCTAACTTATTGAAAGAAAAAGCTAATGTATTTAACATGTGCTTTGAACTATGCCCTCCTCTCATTTTACTTTCTCTTAATTTTTCTTGTAACAAAGAGATATTATTATTGAAAGGTAAGCTAAAAACTTAAGGAACAGCTTGCTGAAACCTATCAATAGGCAAAGACACACACACACACACACACACACACACACTAAAAATCACATATTAAAAAATTTTAATCTGGACCACTGTTTATTTGTCTTAATCCTACAAATACATATGCCAAATAAGCAGTTACGCCACATATTATTCCAAAATGCAACAGTCCAGCTATGAGTCCACCGATAATCATTACAAGAGAACATTTACGTTTTGATTCTGCTTTACCTGTCACTCCATGTGCTTGAGCCTCACGAGCCTATTAAAATAACACAAAATATAAATTAAGTTTAATAAGTGCAAAGTTGTGCACTAAATCTAGAACTATCTAATTGTACCTGAACAGACAATATTATGGCTGGTATTAAGAAGCAAAGACCCAGTGATCCAAAGAAACAGCAAATAAAACTCAGTACAATGGACACAATGAAATACTGATCCTTCTGCAGAGGACGGTGTCTGTGATTGGGAGTACGTCCAGGCTGATTGGTAATTAGGCCTGCTCCATTATCCTATCACATAAAAAGGGAGAAAAAAAAACAAGTAGATCTATATGACCTGCAAGAGTAAAGCAATATCACTCTGAAACACTCTCCCCTCTTCTATCAAACTCTCTTCCTCTCTCTTTTCTATAAAACTGTACATGTATGTCCATTGTAACTTATAACTTTATTAAGTATAGTCTACATATTAATTCTTTATTTATGTGCTCCATTAGCAATTGTGCTAATGTCTTGTTGTGTAAAAAAAGTAATTGTAAAACTGAGCTAATTAAAGCAGACATTAAATGTTTGCTTTATGCTACCACCTTAGAAGTGTTACAGTTTACTAAAATGTTAAACATAGATACTGGTTCCTTATCTTACTGTCAATACTGTGCTTGCACTGCCATATGTCATCTCCCTGTACTGATGTGGTATAAACAATGAAGTACCTATTAGTATTGCACCTCTTAACAATTGGTATACAGTATAAGGTTTACTCACGATGTTCATTCAACTCCATTGGGAGACAGGATAAGTGATGAGGGCCAAAAAGGGGTGGAATTGTTTGTATTACAGATTATAGATTAGATAGCGACTGAGTAAGTTATACATTTGCAGATTTGCAAGGCTAAAATAATGTTTACAATTATTATACTGTTTGTATGGCTAGCTTCTATAAGGACATCAGCTTTCTCTATTCTCTTTAATCCGTCAAATCATTAGTCAGGCATCTTTAGGGTCTATGCCTAAACATACATAACAAATGATAATGTGGCTTGTTATTTTAATTGGTTGCTTAATGCTATGCAGGAAGTTTGAGCTGCTTCACAGTAATTTTGTGACATTCTTGAAGCAATTAGCTTTATTCCAAAAATTGGCTTATGCTATATGAACAAAATTAAACCTCCATTTACTCTTAATTATTATATGTAATTTTCTCACTCTCTCTCTCTCTCTCTCTCCCATCCTCCTTATAGTCAGGCAGAGCCTAACCCACCGCATGACTACCCTCCTTTTACACTGGTCAGGAAATACATCCACACAGTCAGCCTAGGTAATCCATTGCTTCTTATGTATAATACTATGGTTGATAACGGTGACTAACTTTTGCCTTTAATAATTAATATGTGCAATGGCACTAATGTGTCGCAAATGTGTTACTAAAATTTAGCCACATGACTCCCGCCATTCAATATTGATTTGCACCTGTTGCCACTAAAAATAAAGAACAACTTGATTACCGTATACGTCCAAATTTTCGAGGGTTCAAAATTTCGTGTTTTCAATGAAATTTGCTCAAAAGTTAATATTCGTGTGAGCTAATTTTCGTGTTCTGGCCATAGTCTACATACAATAGAATGGCATTAGAGGTGTTTTAAATTTCGTGGATTTAAGGTGAGCACGAAAATAACGAAATTTAATACACCTCGAAAATTAAGACGCGTACGGTATTACAAAATACAAACTTATAATTCATTAACAAGTGTATCTGAATTATTAAACAATAATGTTCATTAATGCATTTCTAGGTTCAATATAGATATTCCTCCATATAAGTGGAAGTAGTTACCACTGTACATCGTCTCTGTAATTTCTCATCAAATTTATCTACATGCATGCAAATGTATTAATATTTTTAGTCAGTAGTTAGTTCGAGTTACCTGCTGCAAATATATGTGTCTGTTCTTTTTCTTTTTTTGTTCGTAGCTTAAATGGTTCTGATAACAGTTGCCTCATGTACAACTGCATAAGTTCCCTCTCCTGCCCTATAGTATGTGTATATCATAACAACATGAATAATTACACAGGTTACTTATACCTTCAACAGTCTTTATGATAGGCTTGTCAATCTCTTTAGAAGTGTCAGCTGTAGATTTAATTGCTAATGCTGACAATACCTTCAATTTAAATGATGTAATCATTATTAAATTTCTTAATTATTCATACCTCATGAGCAGTATTGTTATTCCATATACTACGGTTGCCTACTTTAAATTCCTTTAATCCTTTCACTTGCAGTATCTCTATCTTATCAAGGACAGCCATTATCAGTGAGCCAGTGTATTCAGCAGGGCAGTAGCAGGTTACTACAACTGATTGACCTTTACGAGCATTTAATACTTTGAGATCTATATGATATTTGTGCAGAAGCTCTAACTCCAAAAGCACATCATTGATGTCTTGCAGTGTAGTTTCATCAGGATTCCAATTTAGGACAAAGGTTATTGTTTCACATAGCAAATATCGTGTTGGAATCACTTGTAGTGTTTCGTCACTGGAAAGACTCACAGATACTGACTTGCAAAATTCTTTAGCCACTTCTTTATGTTCTCTGATGATGTCTTCAGCCTCTTTTACTTTAAACTGTTGAGCTAGTACTTCAAGAGGACGGACATCAACAATGCTACATTTTCTCTTTACCACATCGAGAACACTATCAATTTTTTTTGCAACAGAAAGTTCAGCCTTGAGATCAGGGAAACAGTCAGTGAGCAGTGCTTTCACTTCATCGACATCTTTCTGTGATTTCTTAGCCCATTTCTTTGAAAAAAGAAGTCGTACATTATAGAAAGTTGATCCAAATTTCATTCGCATATCTTTAAATTTTTGTCCCATATTACGAGGAAATGGTATTTTATGACCTAAAATAGCTTTTTAAAAAGAATAAAATAATTGCAACTAAAATGAACATAATTCTTACATTCTGAGTCACTTGAAGTCAATGCACATGCATTATCTAGAGATTTCCTTTCTGAATTAAAGAGTGCATATAAATTAAATGACACCATTAAATATACTTTCAACTAAGTAAGTCTCCATTTCTTCAACATCTTCAACATTATCACCAGTGTTAAAAAGATGCTCTATAAATAATAGTTGATATAAAAGTATCATTTTAAGTTAACATACTGCATTCTTCAAAGATAGCATCACCAATATGAGCAGTCTCAGGGAACTTTCTCAATACAGTAACAAACAACTCCAGGTGTTTGTAATTGGAGTGAACAGCATCTCGTACAGCTTTGAGGAGAACTGCTCTACTGTCAGACACAGAACCTCTTGTAGACAGGACACAAGACAGAGCCTCATCAGATATAACCTCTTCACGAAGCCACTTAGCCATTTGAACCTGTTCAGTTATTGACTGAGAAAGAGCACCGTAATTATTCCTCAATATATCACTAGCACAATCTTCATTACCACCTACCACCTCCTGTGGTTGTACTACTGTACTAAAATCCTCTTGAGGAATTGTCTCTTCTGTATCAGAATCATATTCATAGATTAGTTATGACAATAGATAATGATTAATTTTCTTACCATATTTGGTCATCATTTCATTGGCTATATCTCTTAATTCTTCAAAATCAGACAGCACTGTAGCAATATCTTTAAGTTTCCTGTAGTCACTAGACACTGTTTCTTTCATGGCAGTCAATAGAATCATCTTCTTCTCATTCAGTGACCTAGCTTCACTTATACATCTTTTACTGTATAACAGTTGAGACACTTGTACAGGAGAGACAAGAGCTTCATTCAATGATTGAATATGACTTTGAAAAATAGAAACTGCTGATGGTGGTGTATGACCTACACCAATTAAATAATATATAATTATTTTAGATAATAATTTAGAAGATGATCATTATAAAACTTACAATATGTTTCATGTAAGCTCTTCAAATGTTTTTCATATTCATCAGCGAGTGTATTCTCTCCCACTACTCTTATTCTCAATACATCCAGTACTTGTCTCCTACTAGCAGTTGGAGTAGTGGTCAGCCATAGATTGAACATCTCTATCATCTTGTGAATGTCAGTGTGGATAGTTTGTCCTTCAATACTTCTCAATCGTTTTTGATCCAAGTCAAGCATTGTACCAACTATGTACCAGTTAGTGCTAACATCAACATGCTCCGTTAGCTCCTTTATTGTTGGAGGAGATGACAAGAAAGTATCAAAAGAGACTTCCATGCTTTATCAAGTCACTATTATTTTACTCTATTGTATGATCAAGTGCCCTGCCCCTCACCCTGCCCAATTAATTAAAGCCTGGGGTGCTGAGCAAATGATTATCCATTCCATAAAATTAAAAATTTTATTTTTTGGAAAAGCTAAAAAAATTAATAAAAAGTCAAATATAAAAAATAATACAAGCTATTTACAACAACATAAAAATATAACATAGGCTATTTACAATCATCATTACTCTAATAGATTACTGCCAAACATACAATTTTTGAATGGCTAGCTTCCATGAAGACTTCAACTTTCTCTTAAATCCATCATATCAGAAGGACACTTTACAAATCTTAATTCTAAGTCCCTATGCAACCATGCTGGCGGTTTGTTTCCAATGCCAGAATGAAGAATTTCCCCATATGAACTAACATCAATGGTCTCTGCTGTGCTAACTGCTCCTTTAAACACATCCAGTTTCTTTTTATCTAATAGCAGGCAGTGCCACACATTCTCGTGTTCTTTGCTTTTGCCAGTAACAATATAAATAAGTTCTGAACTACCAGATATACACTGTGTCCAGGTGAATTTAGACGAACAACTGCTATCTATTTCACAAGTTTCATCTCTTCCCTTACCACAACAAATGACTCTGAAATCAATCCCAAAACACCTTTGCCCTGATTCTAAAACTTTCCCATCATGGCAATGCATCAGTCCCTTCTCGTCTTCGTCAAAATCCACCCCCTCACTTATGAATGAGAGAGCTGTCGCTTCTTCATCATGCTGACAAGACGCAATTATTTTTATTAGAAACTTATTCCTCCTAGCATGATGCCCACAAGCTGGTATATTAAACTCATCTAGTTTCCTAGCCCAGTCATTAATCCATTGGCCTGAGTAGCTACAGTCGGAGACTATGGTCAGTGAAGAGCCCATGTAGTGGCTGCAGTAGAGATTGAAGATATCATCAAATGAAATGATGCCGTCTTTGAAGCACCAGTTACCAGTACCCCTCTCTCCATGACCAGTGTACCAGATGACAGCTGTGTATAAAAACGATAAATTAATGTGACAATACAGTGAGGCATTAAATTATAGTAGACTCAAATTAAATAACTAAAGTTAAATGAATTACATGTATGTATATATACAACCAGAAACGTTTTAAAGTCACAATTTTTAATGCAATGTGCCATGACTAAAAGTATGTATAAACCAATGACCATGTTAACATAAGAACATTTCTATAAATAATAGCCACACACTCAACATCAATCCAAAATCAAATAAGATTTCTACACTTTGTGACATGTAATCTTCACCATTATTATTTACTATTATTTTACACACGTACATGTACATGTAGATAAGCGGACAAATGAAGATTTAGTTCTTCAAAATTTTGAGGCTGTACAATATACATGTACATGTAAAATAATTTTTTTGCCATTGATACATTTCACAAGTTGTTGAAATACAAATGTTCGAAACATTATTTTACCAAACATTTACCTCCTTTATGTTTCTTGCTGTAAAATAACGCTTTAATCATGTCAATGTAATCCTGTCTAGATTTTTCTTCTCCAGGAAAGCCATGGGACAAGAAAAATACCTCAAACCTTTCGTTGTACTTTTCATAAACGTTTTTAATTCTTTCAATTTCGTCGCTCATCCACTTCTCCCCTTTCAAGTGGCTGGGAACAATCTTAGGAGCTACAGTATACCTATATGTACAAAACAAATGATAATGAGGTTTGTTTTGAATATTCAGCTAAACTGACTGTTTTGAAAAAGCACCAAATGATCCAATGATGAGTACATCTCTGTCTTGGGGTTGAAACAACCTCCAAGTGTTAACTCTTTTCCTTGTTCTTGGTTTACAGGCTACCTCTGGCTCTGACTCATCAAATTCAAGTTCTTTCACTTCTTTCACTTCAGTGTCTTTTTTAAGAGGCTGAACAAGAAGGACTGGTTTTACAACTATTGTAGAGTTGATTTTACAGTCATCGAAATTTATACAAAGTAAAACATGTAAAAAACAATACATGTACATGTGCATCCAATAGATTCAAATTTATGAAATACTGTTAATTTAATAGTCATTATGTATTAATGGCTAGCAGCTGTGGTCATTTTGGTCATTTGTGGCAAAAGTTAGTTCCATATTATTTTAGGGTTCAATACAAGAGTAGTATTGAATACTTTGGAACTGAAATACTTATAAAATCTTTCGTGGCCCAAAATTTTTGTGAATTTTGTGATTTATTCAAAATTCATAAAAACAAAATTCACAAAACTGATTTAATATTGATCAACATTCAACAAACAGATTTTTGGATGAATTTGTAAAATTTTTGGGCCATGAAAATTTCTCGCTATACAGTACTGCCACTCACTATTGACAAATCACCTGTGCAGTACTATTCACTAAAGGCCTCCATACATTAGGCAACATGTTGCTGGCAACTTTGTGGTTACTTTGATCTTGTAAGCAACATGTTGCCAGAAATAGAAGGCTGTTCTATTTCTGGCAACATGTTGCTTACAGATCAAAGTAACCACAAATGTTGCTAGCAACAGGTTGCCTCGTGTATGAAGGCCTTAAGAGTAGAATAAGCTATACATGGAAGGCCATTGTCAAAACCTTGTGATTTTGCATGCACTAGACACAGTTACACACTGCTATCTTTTAGAAGTTTAAGCTGATTTTTCAAGTTATGGTAATATGGTCAATTTAACTCAATTTCTGAAAAATACCTTGTACTATAGCCCATGGTTTTTTCCAAAAAATGGGTACAAAATTATCCCCAACTTTTATTAAATTTTCTGATACATATTGATGCCCTCAAGCTACATGTATGTAGAAAGTTTGAGCTGATTCCAACTTAAAACTTTTTTGAGTTATGTTATTATTTAAAATGAGCCAATTTCTAAAAAAAATCCCTGTACTTATATATAGCACATGGTTTTGTCAGAAAAATGGCTCTAAAATCCCCCCCCCCAAATTTTTATTACATTTTTTGATACATATTGATGCACTTATGCTATGTAAAATATTTGAACCAAATCCGACTTCATTTTTTAAAGTTATGGCCAATTTTTAAAATAGGCCAAATTTTGAAAAATACCCAAGGCTATAGCCCATGGTTTTTTCGAAAAATGGCTCCGACATCACTCCCAATTTTTATGAAATTCTCTAAGCCATATTGATGCACTTATGCTATGTAAAAAGTTTGAGCTGATTCCGACTTCAATTTTTAAAGTTATGGCCATTTATAAAAATAGGCCAAATTTTGAAAAATACCCAAGGCTATAGCCCATGGTTTTTTTCAAAAAATGGCTCCAAAATCACCCCCAATTTTTATTACATTTTCTGATACATATTGATGTACTTATGCTATGTAAAAAGTTTGAGCCAATTCCGACTTCAATTTTTAAAGTTATGGCCATTTTTAAATATAGGCCAAATTTTGAAAAATACCCAAGGCTATAGCCCATGGTTTTTTCCAAAAAATGGCTACAAAATCACCCCTAATTATTATTGCATTTTTTGATACATTATTGATGTCCTCAAGCTATGTTGAAAGTTTGAGCTCATTACGACTTAAATTATTTGAGTTACATGTATGAATATTTTTTAAAATGAGCCAATCTCTAAAAAAATCCCTATACTATAGCCCATGGTTTTTCCCCAAAAATGGCTCCGAAATCACCCCCAATTTTTATTACATTTTCTAGTCCATATTAATGTACTTATGCTATGTAGAAAGTCTGAGCTGATTCCGACTTCAATTTTTCAAGTTATGACCATTTTTCAAAAAATTGAACATTTTGAAAAATAGTCATGGTTTTTTAACAAAATTACTCCCAATGTATTACATTTTCTGATGCTACAATACAAGGTAATTATGTTTTGATCTTTCCTGTAACTTTTAAACTACTATTACTCACCTAATTTTGATGACTTTGTAACTGATACATCAGGAATAGGCCCTTCATGTAACTGCGATTCAATGCAAGCTGGATAAATACACATAGGTCCTACTGATGCAATCATAAAAACAAAATTGCAAAATTAGTCTCCACCTTCTGTTGACTGAACTATGGCTACTGGTGATTCTTTTGGGCTTGTTCTTATTGCCACTTCTACATAAATTCATTTTAAATTTTAATTTTTTTTATTTCTTACCATTTATAACTTGATTCTTACTATCTTCATTCAACAATTGTTCATTCTTAGTAAGATCTACAAGTAAAAAATCATCATAACTCTTGCCACTACATAATTACGTACATACCATTTCTCTCTTTATTATCAACTTCTTGTTCGTCATCTTTAATCCCTGAATTCTCCTAGTGTAAAAGTAAGCTATAATATTCAATAACTAATTTTACAAGCAATTTACCTCATTCACACGGCCCAATATGTCACAAGTACATGAGCTTGCACCAGCTACATTCAGTATGTATCTGCTCTTGCACTTTACTTTGCTTGCTATTCTTGTTCTCAGACCTTCAGGACCACACAGAGTAATTCTGACAAGAGACTTGCTACAAATGATCCTATAAAGGTGTAGAAACGATGCCAGCTCCGAAAAAATACAGCACAGAGTCAACTTGAATTCAGACACAGTTGTAGACGAAAGAACATCGATGGGGAACTCAAATTCAACCACTGGTACGAGTGATGAACAAATTGTAGTTCTTAAGATATTGAGCTCTTCCATAAACTCTGAGCTGATTAACTTTCTACAGTAATACTGCTGCTCATCCTCCAGTGATTGCAATGCTCTTAGAGAACTAGTGAACTGGAAGTTGCCTATAAGTTGTAAGAGGATGTCATGATTGAGAAGAGAACAGTGCCGAAAGATAGTATTAGTGACGTCATTGATTGTGTCAAAGCTCTCCAATTCATTTGAAATGTAGCAGGAGAGGAAAGGGATGCTCTTTACTTGTGCTGCTGTGATGTGAGCCACCTTTAAATCAACTTTAGTGTAGATTTGTAAAAACATGAACAATAAAGTGACTTTGGTCATATCATGTTGCTGAAGACACAACATTTCTTTTCTTCCTATTATAAATAAATGATGGATAGTTATTGTACATGTACATGTAAGTTCATG